AAAAGATTTTAATAATTTGTCAACAAAATCGAACTTATTTATAAATAAAACCATACAAAATCACCACTCGCATCCTTGAAGAGTTTCCAAGTAGCAGTAATTTCACATAATATTCGAACGATAAAACGATGACAAAAATTCTCGAACTCTTCCAATATACGCGACATGCTAATGACTAATGGAAAATAAGCAGAATAAGATAAAATAAACAACGAAAGTCAAAAAATTCCCATGAAAATTCGTACTTCTATTGCTGAAAAATTTGATTGCCAAGGCCACAAATAAATCGAATCGAAATGTTTAAGAGATCCATTCATTGATATTAAGTAGTGATAATGATTATCTGACAGTGATAAAGTAAAAATCGAGTCGAATGAGACATCGGATAAAGTGAATTTCAAAAATATACAGATTTCGTGGGGAAGTCCACGAAAAAAATAAAAAATAATCGATAAATTTTGCCTTTCTTCAATCCATCTTATTCCTTTTAGTGAATTATAACTATCATAAGATACACAATTTAGAGTATTTAATTGGTTTAAAATAGCTTATCAAATTTAAAGACTTTTTTGGCATTTTTTTATAAAATCCATTCACGGAGAGCGAATAATGCACAATTATAAGACAATAAGTAAGGATTTCAGAAAGTAAATGAGCAAACTTAGTTCATTCGGTTAAATACTACTAAGCTCAAACGAAGAACTTTACGAAGAACTTTCATTGTTGCAAGTGTTCACCCAAAGTCAAAAGTGGGGACATTTGAAGGAGAAGGAGAATTTAAGAGTGGAAAACATTCGAAAAGTGCCAAAAAGTTTGGAAGAAATGCAAATTCTGTTCAGATCAATTCATTTGCTTCAATTATAAAAAATTTGCAATAACGATATATTGAAAAGGTTGAAAAGGATTTGAAAAGGATCAAATTCAGTGCTTCATTCATTCAGCAAAAAAGATGAAAGAGGGCGAGTAATATTAAAAAAAAGATAAAATTTACTGCTGAAAATGTTTGCGGATATGTCTGTATATGCCAATATCAAATTTCGTGGATAATTCTGTTTTAATAACACCGAAACTGATGGCGGTGCAGAAACTGAACAGTTTGATGCCTTCTGAAGTTAATGCAATCGATGAAAAAATTATGAATGCGACAAGTAGGCTATAAATACAAAATATTTCATAGTTAGCCTTGTGCTGACGAAAGGATTTTTATTAAACATAGTTTATTAATTCACAAAATTCAACCTCTAGATGAATTAAATTAAAACAAAAAATGGAATAAGTGCAAAGAAACTCTGATAAAAGTGATAACACTTGGCCGATAGCTACTTTTTTTCGCAAATGACTGAGAAATAAGAAATGACTGAAATTGAGAGCCCAACTGATAATTAATAATAATAATAATAAAAACTTCAGAAACAGATTCACCAGTGCTCTTTGAAATGTCATTAAACGAATTCGGCTGGAAAAAGTTGCCAGCTCGTCTATACAGTTATGAAAGTAAAAGTAATGGAAAATTGGTTGGGATATCGCTATGCTTTCAAATATTCTGTGAATAATATTCATTAGAATAAGAAATATTAAAAAGTAATGAAGTGGCCAGCGCACACCATTTCTGATTAGACCAGCATCGCTAGCTGTTGCTAGACAGCTAGCCCAGTCACAAGTATAGAAATGTCCAGTCCAGCCAACAGCGCCCAGTGAAATTTGCAATATATTGTAATATTTCACAAAAGAATATAATTGAAGTACAAATAAGTACAATTACAATAAAGAAAATTGCAAGTATTTAATTAGTAATATTTAGCCAAATGTTCACTTATTAAAAACCACGCGATAGCGAAATTCTGTTGAAAAGTCGAGGGCAGGATTGCCCTTCGTTTCGCGTAAAATTTTGAAAATAAAAAAGATTGGAAAAAAAGGCAATTTAATTTCGCTTTAGTGCTAAAATTCAAATCTTTCAAAAATTGTAATATTTCATTGAAAAAAGGTACTTGGAAATTTTGAAAATTGTTCACCTTTTTTCTCGTCTGCGCAAACACCGTTTATTTTTGGTTCGATTGGACTAGGATGAAACAAAGTTGCAGCCATTTGGAGATGGTTGAAAGGACTGGCTTGTACCAACGTCTGGTTTCAGTTTTAGTGATAGTGTGCTTTTATCAAGAAACAATAACAGGATCGATGATGCTTAAACTTTTATTTTCCAGCAACTGCGCAATTTTGAATTTTCCAAAATTTCTTATAGGAAATTTCTTTTCTTCTTCGGTTTCGAAAAAAGTGGAATTTAGGCATACTATATATACCTTTTCCAGTGATTTTTAGAATAATTAAATTTATGGCAAACCGAGACACCTCAGACTGCAAATTTGTCTTTTGGCAACATCGCAATTAAAATCGTCGTCGATCGTCGATCGTCGATCTGCAAAGAATAAATTTTTGCGCAAAATGGGTGGAACTTTTTATATTAGTACTGGTTAAGTTTAATAACCTAGTTAGGCAATGGTTCGTTCGAAATCCGTTCTCATTATCACCGTGCATTAATGGAAATCAATTTTAGAATTTTAGTTCACTCAAGTGACATTTACATATTCTACGAAGAAATTAATTCAGCCGAACTCGTCAAAAATTTAATTTTTGGCAAAAAAATGGCATATCTGATTATTTGCTATTTTGCTATTAATTATTTTGCATCACACTTTTGCATATTAAAATTTCAGTTAATTTGCTTATGGAATATTTGAACCAAATCACTGATTTTCAAAACTTCCATAGTAGATTAATCGACTAGAAAATGATTTTTTGACAGTTAGCAAATAGCTATATCGATAGAATATATTACATATTACGTAAAAAAATCCATTTCTTATCCTCTGTGGCAAGGATTACCCTCAAACTGAGGTTTTCTACCAGAAGCCTGGAATATTAAGAGTTCTGCGCACTACCAAAGCTGTTCTACCTCTTCTAGACAGAGATCTCTGATGTTTTTCTTGAAATTAATTCAATTCTTCAAATCAAATTCAATTTTTTAATTGAGGAGCCACACCTCTAAAACTTTAATACCATTGCGATTACTTTGATCATTCCTTTTCATTATTTCATCAACCTTTGGCATTTCTCTAGCTTTTCTTATTCTTTCTACCTAACTTCGCTTGGTATTGCTATATTTATCACCAATGCTGATTTCAGGTTCTTTTTTTTCGATTGATTGGCCTTGCTTGCCCGTCCAAGTGGAAAAATTACAGAACTCAGCATTATTATTCTCCACGATCTTCTGGAGAATCTTCCATTTGATCTGTGGAGAAACTAAACCACATGATGAGCTCATTGAGATATTCCTGTGCTCAATATCAGCTAGTCGGTTATGTCTTTCAATGTATGCCGTTCATGCTTGCATCTTTTATTCTACCACTTTTTTTCAAAGCTTTTTTGCAAGGTCTGCACATTGAGTCTTCTCTGGTATAGTAAATCCCTGCTTCGATGGATCTTGAGCTAAGTACTTGTACTACTTTGCTCATCCTCAGTACTCTCTTGTAATTCAGCTTTTTCCACCCACTGGTAGGGTTTCTTAATATCAGCAGCCTCAATTGTCTATGGTACATCTTGCTTTGTCATGGGACTTTCCTTGGCCTTTCTTCAGTATTTGCTGATGCATTAGGCCTTCTCTTAGCAGCTCATCCTTTGGTGCCATCCTGCTATGCACTCGTGAACGTTTCGTCCAAAACAGCGGCCTTGATATTCACTAAGCCAGATGATCTTTAGGTGTTAAACTTGGGGAATTTCCGTGCATTATGAGGAGTCTTCATATCGGCAACCCCCTTTGTCCATCTCATTATGCCAGCTGCCTCTATGATCACTGAGGATGCGTACATGTTTATGGCGTGAATTTTTTTCCCACTGAATTAGGTCTTTTATCTTACTCCTATTTGGATTTTGCTATTTTCCTCACCTTTTCATCATATCCAAGGTAGCTGGTCTGGCCTGCAATTTGTCTCGCTAGTAGTTCCACCAGCCATAATTTCTTCCTCCCTTTAATACCATCCGACATGATTTACCGTAGGAAGGAATAGCACGGCTCCTTTTTTCAAGAGAAAACGGATTCGAAATTGGCCATTTTTATAGCGGAGGAATGGAAAAATAGGTCGTTGAGAATTACCCACCGTTGAGAAAATCGATTTTATAACCTCCAGAATAATTAAATGTGGAATCTTTTACATTCTAGCATGAGGGCCACTTTTCGTTCACCGACTTTAGGCGCTACCGCAGATCTCAGTGCCGCGGCCGTAATTGCTTCTAAATTCGAAGGAAGCATTGATTTTCTCCCTCAAGTTTCGTGGTCGATTTGCTGCGGCGTTTCGGGTTACATTAAGTTGGTTTATTTATTTTAGTCAGTTTTGGTCTAGGAAAGGTCTCCTTCGCACAATGTTAGGCCTAGGTTCAGGGCCTGGGACTTAGGCTCGTGGGTGTTTGGCCTGAGCCTAAACTTAGGCTCATTTCGATAATTGTTCTACAGTAGAATTGTTCTATTTTTATAGCAGTAGAAAATAAGCTAGGGACAGATTTTAAATTTTGCCTAATTTAACTATTTTGAAACTATCTTAAATCTTTTAACTGGTTTTTTTCCTTGTCGACTTTGTACACTGCGGGGGATTCCAATAAAAATCTTAAATTTTACATTGAAATCCATTGGGAGATTAAAATGATCGATGAGTCTAAGCTATTTATATTTATTAAATTGGGCCTCTTTTTTTGCGGTTTGATTATTAAATAATGTCGGCTGCTCGGTTTAACTTTTTATATATATCGCTATGACATTTCACGACTTTTGTGTGATCTGATGTCCATTAAAAAATGTCTCTAATGTTTTTGCTTTTCGTTTTATTTTCTTCGTTTCTGCATTCATTTTTCAACGATATTTTTTCCAGAATCTTGAACTATTTTCTGCTTCATGGTTTTTTCTGGGATCATAGACAGTTAATGTATTGGGGACGCTAAGAAAGTCGGTAAAAATGGGTATAGTAAAGGAGAAATCAACTGAAGAAAAAGGAAATGATTGGATTCAAGAATTTGTAACCGATATTTACGTTGGTAAAATCGCCATTATCGATTTCGCAGTTTCGCTGAAAGTACTTGTTGGCAAATATGGTTGCAGCGATGAACAATATCGAACTCTTGCAAGTGAATTATTTTATTCACTAAAAAGTTAGAAAAGTTGGTTTTGTGGGCAGTAATGAACCTCTTTAGGGGGAATATAGCCGAATACTTATATATACTTATATCTTGTCGAGAATATTATTTTAAGCTCCATGGAGTCTTTAAGGCGTTATGTAGCTGATAGGAGTAAACCTGTCATTCGGAAGAAATTCGAATCGTGTTTGGTATGCATATGTATTTCTGTACCTATGTGGGAAATTTTTCTTATTCTACTAATGATCTAATATCTAATATTAATAGTCAGTGGAAGTAATCACATTAAATAATTAGCTGAATAGTAACCAATTATTTTTAATTTGTTTAATGATCTTTTTCATTTGTCGTTGAGAAAACAGATGGCAGGTAATTGGTAATAAACTGGTAATAGGTAGAAAAAAGCCTATGACTTCTCGACTTAACATCTGTATTATCAAAAGATTCGGAAAATTGTTATGAAAAATTTTTAAAAAAATGAAATGAAAAAAAGATCTCAGTAAATGGAATATTTTCTCGGTAAATGGAATATAGAAAATATTTTTTCTTATCATAAACATGCAGAGAATGATTGGGTAAAAAAGTAAAAGAATGATTGGGTAATAAATGCGAGGAAACTGAAAGAAAGAATTGTCTACGAAAAGTTCATAGGTATTTTCAGCTAGACTATAGAATATAACTGGAGAAAGGAGATTGCAAGTTTCAGTTAATACTACCTATTATTTACTTTATCATTTACTGATATAGGTTTTTTTCGCATTTTGTATTTGTAATTTCCGTATTTGCAATGCTTTTCCATTCCACTCTTTTTCGTTATTTTATGCATTGTTGGGCGGAAAGGTTCTGTGTATTTTGCAAATTACTAGGAAGATCCATGACATGGAAAACTTTAAAAATAGTTAAAAATAGTTATTGGCAGTATTAATTTTTGAGAAATTTATTTTAATTTTTCTGTTACTAAGCTTTTATGGTTTTGTTTGGATTATTATAAATTTTTTTGTTCTCTGTTGAATTTTATCTTAACAATAATTCAATCTTTCAATGCATCGGCTTGTGATAATCCTCCTTTAAATCATTCAAAATTTTTTGAATTACATCTTATTATTTCTTATTATTTTTTTAATTACAGGAGCTTTATTGCGAGTGGCTACTGTATCAACCATTCCTCATCGAAATTTCTTGCACTATCTGGAAAGTCTTGTTATTTCTGAGGTAAATTTTTTGCTGCGTAGAAAAATTAAAGATAAATTTCAAAGATAAAATAGATAAAATCCAATCTTACATTTCAGCATTTTTTAAAATATATTTAGTTATCTCACAATATTTTACTTGTTCATTTTTTTTAAGTCAAAATCAATAGTAAAATTTTTATTACTCTTCAAAAAATTTATAGTTTTAGTGCAAATGGATGATAAGTATATTACTGAATATTATAAGTATATTAATGAATACAGTAAAAGATTATCAATGAATTTGCAAATCAACAATTCGAAATTCTGACTAACTTTCTAGGCTTTTAATTGGCTAGTAGGGTCTGTATTTTCTGAAGTTATAAAATAACTTTAGTGAGCTCACAGAGATTTTAATTAATTTATATCATATATTTTATTTTTTTAACCACTGATTTCTAATAAAATCAAGGATAAATTAAAAATAAAAATCCAATCTTATCCAATTTCATAAAATCCAATCTTAAAACCTGATTTAATCGAAATAAATGGTTTATTGTTCATCTTTTCTGCACTTATTTTTTAGGTCTTAAGATGGGCTGATTTATTGGAAATTATTGCTGAGTTTCGTCATTTTCAAAGATTTGCTTGTGTTGAAGCTTTGGCGGATATTCTTTGCAGTTACGCGCAATTTATAAGGTTCATTCGAGATTTATATATTTTTTTGGTCTTCTGAAGAGTTGTTTTTCTAACATTTTATGCTGATATTTTTGAAAAAATTTTAAAATATTTTCAACTGATTATGTTTTATGAATAATTAATTAAATCGTTAACTCAATTTAATAATTTAAATAAAAAAAAATTTTCGTACTTCAGACTTTTATTTGGTTTTCTGCCCTAAAAAATTTATTTTTTCATTTTTTGTTCAACATAGTAAATCAATAGTTTTTTAAATAATTTCTTCAATTCAAAAATTATATTTCCTTTACTGCAAAATTGTTTACCTATTTAGATGTTCTTACACGTCAGAGAATGAATGTGTGGATCTAGCAGTTTCAGTAATGTCGCTTTTAAATTGGTGTTTGTTGGCTTTGGAGTACTCTTTGAAATCTTCTAACGAAACGGCCACTCAAGCACTTATTAATTGTGTTTGCACTTATGCTGATAACAAATTTGTCCGAGCATTATTATATTTAAATGAACGTATTGGTGGTGGTAAGATCTTATCGCTTTTCAATTTTGAAATTTTATTTCTTGACTTTTCAATGTCTATTAGTAATAAATATAACAAAACAAGTATTCTAAAAACTTAAACTTTGATTTGCTAATTTTTTGGATTTTTGGTAATTTTTAATAACATGAATCGTAAACATTTCGTAATCGTATACATAATAATGCATAATAATATTTTAAATGAGAGAGATAGCCATCATAGTTTGAAACTTTTATAGAAAGCGTGAATTATGTTGTTGATGCAGCGATTTCATTTGCTCACAGTTATTCTTCTTGTGATCATTTGAAAGTAATGGTTGAGAGTCTTCGGCAGATTGGTAATCTGCCAATTGAGAAAATACGCGATAATGTCAGCGGAGTGATAAAACAGGTTTAATTTCTAAAGTGGTTTCAAGTGATTAAAGCTTATAATATAGAAACGCAAAAGTAATGCTTTCTGTTCTTTGGAGATAGCTCTACATATGCAAAAATTTAGCCACATCCAGCCATTCTTACGCTTGTTTCGGTTTTCGAAGGATTTCGGATGACGAAAAAAGTCGACCAAATGGCTAATTCTTTTTTTGAAATGGCTCAAATTCTTGAATTTCCTTTTTCCTGCATGTTTGAGGATATGATTCGTGGCTCTCTCCTTATAATGGTATTAATTTCTTTTTTGCGTTTATGGCTTTTGCTTTCTGATCCCACTTTTACCATTTTATTCTAGATAATTTATTCTCTAGCGTTGAGCCTTCCTTTAAATATTCTCTTTCAGCTCGATGCAAAAGAAACTCTTTGCGAGGAATTAGCTGCTTCACAGGCTTTTTTCTACGTAAAATTGCCACAGATAATCAAACATCTGCTTACTTTAGGTGTTCCTCACAACGATCTAATTTCAGCACTTTCTGTTATCTGCAACAGCAAAACGCTTTTAAATCAAGTGAGTCAGAGATTTATTAAAACTGATATTTTACGAAAATAATTTTTCATTCAAAAAATTAATTTGTAATTTAAAAAAAATTTAAACTTCAATCCTGATTTTATTTATTATTTGTGATTTAAAATTTTTTTCTACTTTACAACTCTTCAGAATTTTAGGTTGATATGAAAACTAAAACTAATTCATTTCAATATTTGCTTCAACAACTTGCTTCTGTTGGCCTTTTGGATAAAGATATGGTCGATAAATTGCGTGAAAAAAGGTTTTTTTGGATTTTATATTTATTCATAGGATTTTAGGTATAAAATCATTCTTCATTCTAGTCCATTTTTTTGCTTATTTTTATCTGGTGATTTATTAATTTTGTATTTCTGTATTTTTTCAGGTCAAGGTCAATGAAGATGTCAAATCCGGAGCTGCACACAATGTTTACAAAAATGACGTCGCAAGTTCATGAACCGCTTATTTTACGGGCGAATAACGCGAGGATAGCTGTTGATAAGGTTAAAAATTTCGAAAAATGTTATTTTATTCAGATTATTGAAATTATGAGGAAGTGAACGTTTTAGATTTTAGATGTTGCGTCAGAATACCGCAGTGAATAATGTTCTCCTAAAGTTGGCTGGAGGGAGTGGTGGATTATTTACTTTTGACTCAGTTTGTGCATCGTTTTGTTCTGACGGAAATTTGACATATTTTAGTTCGAAATTAACGATGTTGGTCTCTTACTTTTTTCTTATTTGTTAATTAAAATAATTTTTCATAGCTCAGTTTTAAATGTAAACTTAATTTAAGAAAATAAATTGATTAAGAATTTCCCCTATCATGATATTACTGTATTTTAGAATTAACGCGCAGCATGAACGATATGTGGAAGGAATGATGGATGACGGTCGTCAGAGAGCTTTAGCATTCAATTTATCATTTATCCTTCTTAGTCGAATGCGGTTCATATACAGTGATATTGTTAGTTGTTCTTATCCTAAATAGACTTAAACTGTTGCAAATTATTGCATATATTTTCATATAATTAGGGATATGGAAATGAAAATTACCTTAGTTCTTCTTTCTTTCGACCCATAACTATTGGCTATTTTTATTATTTTATAAATTACTCATCGTCATCATCATCACTCTTAACATTTAATTATTAAATCCCACTAAAATTTTTAAAATTTGAGGATTCTTTTTCTTAAGACATATAATTTAAATATTTTATTCATTTAAAGCGTCCTCATGAATTGGTAAATGGCCCTAATCGAGGATTGAGTAGCACACAATCATGCTTTTATAAATTTGCGACGTTGTATGGCTGGACTGCCGTAGATTGCTGCGGCGCGACTGGCGCTTTGTTCAAAATGACAGATATGCAAAGGCAGCAAGTTTTTGAAAAAGTTGAACAACTGAAAAATGATCATATCTACTGGGACCCTCAGACGTATGCGTTTATTCTTTCCTATTTTTATCTCAGAATGGTAATTTTTTTGTCTTTAATTTTCAATTAACTAGTTCATTTAGTAATTTATATAGGAAATCATAATATTAAAAAAATTATCGAAATTTTGATTTCTTATTTTTCATTTTATCTTACTTTTCATCTTCAAATATATTGCAGGATAAATTATGCTGAACTTGTAGACAATGTACCTTACATTGGTGAAATACTTTTAGAAGATTTTAAAATTAGCAAGAGCGAAAATCTCAACGATAATATTAAGGTAATTCAGTTTCATCTGTCACATCTTTAGTAAGCTATTACGCTTCTCTTTATAATAATACATACATACATATAATACATACATGTAGAATAGATTAAAGATTGAATAACTTTTATTGCAAATCAGATAAATCAGATAAACAGAAAACGAATAGTTGTATAATAAATCATAAACATGCACCAATTTCCAAACACACTAGAATATAGCAATTTTTAGGATAAGGAAAAAAGTCATTTTTTCGCTTTTAATACGAGTTTAATTCGATGCTCGATTTTTCTCCGATTTATTTTTTCTTGCTCATTCGTCCTAAATTTTCTTTTTAGAAGGTGTTTCATGCCTTTCGTGATGAAGCTAACTTCATGATAGTTTGTTTGGTACAGTGGATTTGTTCGCAGCCAGTGACAGAAGCTCGTCAACGTCTCGTGCAATCATTTATTCATGCTTTGGAATATCCATTGCCCATGAATTCAGCACAGCAAGAAAGGTAAGGCTTTTTGGCTTTTTTTTCGCAAACTCAGTTTTTTGTTTCAGCTGCTAGTGAGTTGTGGAAAAGATATGAGTGCACTGATATTTTTATACATGACAATTATTTTCAACATTTAGCCCCAGATTAATTTTATTTCAAAATGGTTATGATTATTTGATTTGGATTTGTATTCGATTTTGAGGATCTTAACATAATTTAAGGATGGCTATGACTTCAGCCGTATGTCGGCGTACTCTTGATGATCTTCTTATGTGTGATCGCCTACGAGAACCTAGATTTACTTGGATTGTTAATTGTGCTAAGCGTAAATTGCCCACTGTTCCATATACTCTTCCTGCTGCTAATGCTCAGGTTTTTGATTATATGGGTTATTTTAGGCCTTTTTTGCTTTTTTTTGGTTTTCCAGCATTTTATTTTTCACTTTTTTTCATTTTTTTTGTTTCATGCCGATAATTTTATCTTTGTTGTTTCTTCAGTTATCAATTAATAAAAGCTATTATTGAAATTTCATTCTAGTCGTCAGATGCTGAGATCCTGAAACAAGCCTTTACATATGCCAGGCAACAGTCGTGGGCATCACCAAATGTACTTCAACTTATTAATCGGTGCAATAAAGCTGGTGTAGTAGAAAATTGGTGTATGGTAAATAATACATCAAATTGGAATATATCACTTTAAATAAATTGCTAAGAAAATTCGATTGTGTTGTTTGCTTATGTTAATTCAATTTAATGTATGAATATATATATTTTGGTTAGACTGTCTGCTCTGGCTTGTCGCCCTAGACAATATGCTAGGGAATCGACATTATAGAGGCCATAACTGAGTCGCCAGTATCATCCGGATTTTTAAACAGGTTTACTACTGCGGAGAATCAGCGGCGACGCTCCGAATCGATCGACAACCCACTAAGCCATTTAGTTCCCACATACGTACATATATATATATATTGTATTTATTCTAAATTTTTTAGTTTTTATATTATACTTTAAAATTTCAGGTTTGGTTGAATTCAATGCTTAAGCTATCAACTAATGATGAAATGATATCGGCTGGTGAACTTTGTCTTGCTGCTGGGTTAATGTCTCCCGTTCCTTGTATGCTTAGTTTTGCACGCACAATCACTGATTACATTTTGGAACAAAACGTTGAATTTGGTTTAATTTTTTTAAATTTCTTTTTGTGAAATTTTTAATCTGAATCTATTAAAACCTAAACGAAATTTTTTTTTGTAATATCTTTTATAATAACTTAAAGATTCTATTTTTATTTAGCTTTTTTTATAAATAAACATTGGTTTAAAATATTCATCACTATTGTAGGTTGTGTTGAACCAAAAGCTTTGGTATCAGCCAGATTCCTTGTTCACTGTTTGCAGTTGGCAATGCTTGCCTATTGGCGTCAGCAGAAGGAAAAGCAAAACAGATTTGCAATAGATGAACCTGAACGGAAGCGTATCAAAGCGGGTGTGTATGGGCTACTTCAACTCATTTCTTTTCCTTTTTTTAACTTGCCATTTGAAATATTAATCATTGGAACTAGATCTGTTTGAACTGTTTCGACATAAAAGTACAGGGTAATCGCCAACATCACCCGATAATCATCCGAATCTTAATGACAAGTTTATCTAGTTCCATCTAGGTCCAAGAATTGAGAATCGTGTGATAGTTTTATCCAATTTTTTATCCAGTTTTTTTAATATTTCCTATATTATTATATTTTTCCTATTAATACCATATTTTTTATTTTTCTTTAATTATGAGGCTTCAGAAGATGAAGATGATGATGAAAAAATGAATCCTGTTGAGCAGTCAGTTCAAGTAATTTTTGAGAAATTTCTCCGCGAAACGAAAGCTGGTCATTTAAAGGTGTTTCATGTTATACTTGTTATAGAATTAAAGCTATATTCATTTTTACCATTTCTTTTTCATTTCATATCCTTTCATCAACTATCGGTTAAATTTCAATAAAATATACATTGGTAGAAAAAGGGGATTATGTTAAAGAGTTACTCTAATACTAATCGCTATTTTCTAAGTTTTATGATTGTATTTATTCTACCAGTAGCTGTAATAGTATTTTTTCCGTTTCATCATGATTTTTAATTTATTTTCATATCTCATCCTCGAAATCACTTTGAAAAATTTTCAAAAAACAAATTTTTTGCATAATGCTTTTTTTATCTTTAGAGTTTTCAGTGTGATTGGAAAAGTTTCTAAAAAAAAACAGTTTTAGAGCACCATAACCTTCGTGTTTCATTTCATGGTCTGTTTGGCTAGTGCTCCATCTAGTGCAGCCACGAAACGAATAAATCAGATGATTCCTCATGACTTGGTTCATGTTTTATCTTGTGATTATTTTCTAGTAGATACTTTCCGTTAGTTCGTTAATTGGTAATGTTGAATGATTCACTGAATTATGACAAGACAAACGAATATAGTTCATCATTGTTTATAAAAATTGTAAAATGGAAGGGATAAATCTAGTGATCATTATTATTATTATTAAATCTTAAAACAGCTTTTTTTCGCAGCCATTCAAAATTCGTATTTTTTTCAGATGATTAATCTGGCCAGGTTAGATCCGCAAACTTTCAATCTTGATTTGTATCTGCCCCTTTCTGATCTAACGATTGTAGAAAGAGCGAAACAAGCACTAAAATTTACATGCTTGTTGCGCAGACTCGGAGGAATCTAAGTCAGGTTTTGCCGATGCAGTCGTTTCAGAGCATTTCATACTTATTCATATTTAGGTGGCTTAAAGACGGCTCGCTTATAACGAAGTAATGTTGAATTTATGTGAATAATTTTGTTGAAATGTACATTATGCCAATAAATTCAGAGTAATTTGATCTTGTTGATCTATTTTAAATATTATGAAACAAAATATTAAATATTATTAAATATCCAACAAAAATGAGCCTAAAGTTTTTTCAAGTATTCCAAAAATTTGGTTTTAAATCTAAAAAAAATTTTGGATAGAAATCGATTGAGTTGCGAAAGATCACATGGGCCGTTTATAACTCCCTTCTAGGCTTCGCATCTAATTCGTATAAATAATTGGTTATAAATAATGGAAATGAAAGGATTTCGCGTTGAAGATGATCATACTGAAATTGCAGCTCTTCCACTGTCTTTACAATTGTTCGAATCGATAGCATGCAAAATATACTGTGGATCTACTACAAAAGAAAGTAAAAAAATATCGATATTTCAGTCTAATTCAGAGTTTTCCAAACTTCATAAGTTATTACGATTGTGACTACTCGTTGCTAGTCTTGAGAAATTAGGTTCGATGTTTTATTCGGTTTTTTTTATATCCTTATGATGTATATGCAAAAGTTAGTTTGGAGAACTCTGATAACATTGATAACTTTTGTTGCTCATAAAGACGAGTGAATTTTCCTGCATCCCCTTCATCACTTCTCTTGTATTTCAATAAAATTGAGAAATTGAATAGAGCGAGGCTATATTTTTACCGTTTTGCAAAGGTTATATTGTGCATATCTAAGGAATTGCCGTAAAGAATGGCCAAAGTATATCAGTTGAGGTCAGGCATCATTTTAAGCATCGTGAGCTCGGTCTGTGTCTGGTGAAAAATGTCGTAATGTGTGAAGTTGTGGGCCTATTCGTTCTCTTTTTCCTTTGTGAGGGAAAAAGGAATGAGCCAAAGAAGAATTCCTGCTTTTAGTTTGACGAAGAATATGAATGGATGATCTAGCTTGGCTTAAATATAAATTAGGCATAAAATATGAGAATATAGTATTTTACTAATAATATAGTATTTGATAGTATTTTACTTCACCAGCTGCTTCTTTTATCGATTAGTGATGAATAACTACGGTTGTAGGGGAATTTCGCAAGGCATATATAGTTATTTTTAACTAATAGAAAGCAATGTGAATTAGTGGAAATGAAAGAAGGTTTGCAAGGGAATGTGGTGAATCTTTATGCGTAGTCCTTCGATTATTGATGATCTTGACCCTTAAGATTTATTGAAATGCAAGAGAAGTGTGTTAATCCGACATTCTAAAGTTCCTGTTAGCACCATTTGGAAAAAAAAAATTTTAGAATTGGATATTTTTCTTAGAAAGGGGGATGGTGTGTTGAATAGGTGCAAATATTTTATCAGCTAAGATTTTGGTCCATAAAAGCCTCGTCTTTTGTTCCATTTCAAGTTTGCCCTCTTTCTCACTTATTTGCCGATATTCATCTTTTCTGAGTGATATTCATCAACTCTCAGTTAGTACGGGTTAGAAAATAAATTAAGTGGTGTTAGTTTGCCTGACCTAATTTTTTCTCATTTTGAGCGCATTTCTTTTTTATCAACGGCGATTCCATCTTAAAAGATTTTTGGATGCTCCATTTTTCAGGGTTTAGTTTTCCATGGTTTTAAATTTATTTCATTACAATTTAACGTGTTTTATGCGCTGAGTCGCAGGGTGATATGGAATTTTCCTCTGGAATGGTTTGGCTAGAATTAAGGAATCGCTATCCCATATTACTTTACAGTTTCGGTTGGGTTTCAGATATGCAGAATCTGAACTTCTGCGTAAGCTTTGGTACAAGCACGCATCGTCATCTGCGCTATCCAGTGGGTCAGGGACAGCGAACTTCGCATCCCCAAACGCAAAAATTTTGCTGTTGGCTAACCCACTCTCTGGGTTACCACACGGGTCAGCCGTGCCCAAAGTGCAATGGCAAAGCCTCGCCATGAAGATCCCGCCTTCTTGATCGCGAGAATCTCCCAGCCAAGTAAGTTTATTGCACAACGCTATTTTCATTTTGTATCACATTTCTATAAAATATTGAACGGTTTTCTTTTTTTCTCTCGCTCAATTTTCGTGTTCATTATTTTTTTGCAAAATTTGTCGCAGCATTTTGTTTGATATTGGCTCGATATTTGTATATTTTTAATCAATTAAATTGTCTAAACATTCTTCGAATGCTTGTCCTACGCGTCTTCTTCTAACCCTCCATATCATTTCTTTAGTTTGTTCTGCTGAGACTAATGCGAATCACGTGGAGATAAGGCGCTGGTGAATCCGCTCTCGCTTTTCTCTTTTAGTGGCTGTTAAGGGATTTGAGTGTAACATGCAGGCGAAATCTTGTATGATATGGTGCATAAAATGTCAGAATGATAAAGATTCTGGGCGTCTTTTAAATTTTTTTGAAAAGCAGAGCTGCAGCGAAAAATATCTTCTAATCGCACTTCATTTTTGTTTTCACATTAGATTTTATGATGGATTTTCGTTGAATTTCTCATTTATTATTTATTAAATTGATGTTGGTTTAATATTTTATTAATTAATTGCAATTTTAATGCAATTAATTAAACCAACATTGATTCTAAAATCAATTAAGGATTTTTTATCTGTTAATTACGATTTTTTATTTTTGAATCATTAAGAAAAGCCAAATGACAGATGCATGGCAAATATCGAAAAGTGAAGAAACCTCTGACATTACTGAAGGCAGCCTTCTTATGAAAAAGGTTAATTATGTTTCCAGAATAAAAGAGCAGTTCAGTTTATCACTGATATTTACAATACCACATTTCCCTCATCATTCTTGCTGTATTAGTTACGTATGACTAAATAGCTGAAATAGTTCCTAAATTTTCGCTGAAATCTTTCATAAGCAATATGATTGGTGGTAAAGTTCTGAGTTTTGCATCGCTAACTGGCTAAAATTCATATTATAAATTTTTTTTCAAAATTTCGTGAAAATTTCTTGTGAGTAATTTTTTTACAACAATTTGAAGCACTAAAATATTTTTATAAAATATTTTTAAAATATTTTTCGAATAAATTGAGGAATTTTTCAGCAAAAATTTTTTCACTATTAATAATCGTTTACGATATTTTTAAAATCTTTTCGAGCTTCATGCAAAGTTCTTTTCAAAAAAATCATGCAAAATTTAAACCGAAATTTCTATGAAATTTGCTTGAATCTATTAGACGAGAATTTCGATGAGAGTAAACGATAAGAGAAAGATTCGAGTGGTGCTAAATCTATAAGTCCTTAACTAAAATTTTTCATTTTACTTGAAACCAGTGGAGCAAACTTAACCAAAAATGGTAGACGCTAAATGCTAACCCCTCATGTTTACTAATAGATTTTACAGTTTATATTTGGAGTGCAAATGTGATAATTTGATCGCTTTTTGTAGTATATGATGAAAGCCAAAAGCTTCTCGACCGTATGCAATAGAATCTCAATGGTACTGAAACCAAATATATGAATGGAACATATAACATGTAGTACACTATAATATGTAAAATGTTTTAAAAGGAATAGATTTTCGGTCATTTTGTTGTTGAAGTTCTTCATATATACAACGTCAAATAATGGTAGCAAGTTTTGCACTATTTATTATACAATTTAAATTTAATTGTTTCTACGTGATTTCATTGTAAAAGTGAACGACTTTTTTCGCTTCCTTTTTTCGAATATTGCATCAATAATTCAAAAACATTTAAGGAAAAGAAGAAATTATCGTCTTATTGAAATAGATAAGTAGTAACCAAGAAAAATGGTTATAAACGTTAATAATCATAATAATTAGATTAATTATAATAAAAGGCCATTGGAGCAGATTTAGAAACTAGAAATCTTTAGTTTAGAGTTAGGCACCGATGTTTAGGATTGTAAGAGATAAATATTTTAACATGGGTCCTGTTATAGCGATTAGGACAATGGTGGTCCGATATAATTCCTTAATTTTATCGCGGGATTCACTGTACTTTTTCAAGTTCAAGAATTTTCTGCAAAAAACTGCAAATCCGCTACGATGAGAAAAAAGACCTATGAAAAAATGAATGCGATGTTGAAATGAGATTATGGGGCAGCCCTTCATTATTAATGTCAAAAATGGACCATCTTGAAAAATTTTCTATTGTTTTAAGTACAAATTTAGAAAGGAAC